AAATGAAGTGTTTATTTTTGTGTACAATGAATAAATAATTAAATAGAGTTTGCGCGTTTATTAATGTGCCAAAAAAATTTCTTTTTAAAACTGACAAAACGAGTAATGGTGGAAAAAAGATTGATTATGTACACCGTGAAAAAAAATCGCCATAGATTTTGTTGAAAAAAATTGTGTGAACTTAAAAGTGTAGGACATCCATAATTGTTTGTTATGAATATTATTTTTTTATTCGGCCAAGTGTACGTAAAGTTTGGGTTCTTTTACAATTCTGCCTAAACGAGTTAAACAACTAGGTTTGTTACTCGGTTTTTCATCCTCCTCTAGTGTCGTAGTGGTTAGTGGGAGGGGTTGATTAAATGTGGTGCTATTTTCTTTGTCATGTTGAACTTCGTAGAAAGCCGGCTTTATTCTATCTATGGAGATAGTCTCCTTCTTCCCATTTTTATTGATGATGAAGTGTTTGTTTGTTCGTTTAACTACTTGATAAGGTCCTTCATATGGTTGTTTCAAGAGCTTTTTAACTGCGTCAACTCGAACAAAAACAAACTTGCATGCTTCTAGGTTTTTGTCGAGTTGTATTCGATTGCTATGTTCACGTGGCGGTACGGGTTTAATTCGTTGCATAGTTTGCAGTAATCGGCTCGCAAAATGATTTATGTCCGTTGGTGTTCATGGGTCTGCGTCCACTAGTTGACCTGGTAGTGTAAGGGTTGTACCGTAAACTAGCTCAGCGGCTGTACAACCTATATCTTCCTTCATAGTTGAACGAATGCTCAGTAGTACGAGTGGTAATGCGTCACTCCATTTTGATGTATCCTCCTGTGCCATCAGCGAGCTTTTTAGTTGTCGGTGAAACCTTTCGACCAAACCATTAGCTGCTGGATGTCAGACTGTCGTTTTGATGTGGTTCACGCCCAGAAGTTTTGTAAATTCTTGAAATAAGATAGACTGAAACTGAGGACCACGGTCTGTAGTGACGATGGTTGGTACTCCATAGTTTGATACCCAACGGTCAAGGAATGCGGCGGCTGTAGCCCATCTTGTGAATCTGTCCACTGCGGTGAGGATGTGTGTGAATGAATTTGATGGTGGAAGTGGACCAACTATGTCTAGATGAATGTGTTGAAAACGTTTGTCAGGGATAGGGAACTTCCCAATTGGACTGTATGTGTGTTTCTGTGTCTTACTGCGTTGGCACTGGAGGCGGCTACGTGTCCAACGTTTAACATCTGAATTGATTTTCGGCCACATAAAACGTTCAGTAATGAGCTTTGTTGTAGCTCTGATGCATGGGTGTGAAAGACTGTGCAAGTGTCGGAATATCTCTCGTCGACAAACGTGTGGGACGAACGGACGATTGTTGCCCATTGAAGTGTCGCACTTGATGAAAGTATCTGAAAGAGGAATTGGTACAGGTTTGAGATTTAAGCTAGACTTTTCTTTGCAGAGTTTCAATTCTGCGTCGTCTACTTGCAGTTTAGCCAAAGTTTCAAGGCTGATGTCGTGATTGCGTACCATGGTATTGATGTCCCTCCTAGATAGTGCACCTGCGACAATGTTTATGTGACCTTTGATAAGGCGGATGTCTGTATTAAATTGAGAGATATAATCAAGTTGTCTTACTTCACGTGGAGAATGTTTGTCATACGATGTGCTGGAAGAATGGCAAAGGGGTTTGTGATCTGTCATAATGATGAAATCACGACCCTGTAGCAAGAAGTTGAAATGTTTGACGGCTAGATACATAGCTAAGAGTTCACGTCCAAAAGTGCTATAACGCTCTTGTGCTGACGATAATCTCTTCGAGAAAAAGGCAATGGGGGTAATCGTGTTGTTTACCCGCTGCTGCAGTACTTCCCCGACGGCTTTCTGTGAAGCATCCGTGCACAGGATTAAGAGTGTTGTGGGGTCAGTATTTAAGTGTTGTAGCATGGTGGTATTGGAAATCATAGATTTAGCCTTTTCAAATGATACTTTGGCATCGAGGGGTAATTTGAATGTTTGGTTCTTTTCTTTCTTGGTGCTTGATTTATCGCTCTTCAGTAAATCAGTTAACGGCTGTAGTACTTCAGCGCAATTCGGTAGGAATCGTCGATAAAAGTTGCATGTCCCAAGAAAACGTCGTAGTGATTTTACGGAGGTTGGTTCTGGGTAGCTAATGATGCCTTCGACTTTCTCTGAAAGTGGTTTAATGCCTTGAGAGTTGATGTAGTGTCCTAAAAACTCTAAGGCCGGAACACCAAATATACATTTAGCAGGATTAATAACGACACCGTGTTTCTTGAAACGTTTGAAGAGAATCTGTAAGTGTTGGACATGCTCTTCGAGTGATGAACTAGCGATTAAAACATCGTCAATATAGGCAAATACAAAGTCAAATCCTCGTGTGACTTCGTCCATAAACCTCTGGAACGTTTGAGCGGCGTTTTTTAACCCGAATGGCACTCTCAAAAATTCAAACAGGCCAAAAGGAGTGATTATAGCTGTTTTTCAATGTCTTCGGGCGCCATTGGAATTCGGTGATAAGCTTTTACTAAGTCGAGTTTCGAAAAATTTTGTTTTCCATGTAGGTTTAGAGAAAAGTCGTGTAGATGTGGGATGGGGTACCTGTCCGGGATAGTTTGATTGTTCAAGCGTCGGTAATCTCTGCATGGTCTCCAGTTTTGGTCCTTCTTTGGAACCATGTGCAGGGGCGAAGCCCAAGGACTGTTCGATTGTCTGATTATCCCGAGTTGCATCATATGTTCGAATTCTCTCTTCGCGAACTGCAACTTGTGTGGGGGTAGTCGTCTTTCCCTGGCGCGAGTGGGCGGTCCCGTAGTAGTAATGTGGTGTTGTACTTGATGTGGTCTGCATTCCTTTTGATAATCCGATTTCGTTATGCACTCGTATTTAGTCAGAATGTCGTTGAAGATCTTGTTTGCATGTCTCATTATTCGTACACCATGGATTCCATAGTCAGTGGTAAGTGTACCATTTGCCTGCAAACGTGTATTTTCATCTAGCAGCCTCTTCTTGGTCATGCCTACTAATAAATTGTAGAAGCTAAGAAAATTGGCCCCGAGGATGGGTTGTTTGACGTGAGCGACGATAAAAACCCATGTGAATCGTCTCCGGAGTCCGAGGTCTAATATGAGAGATTGCTCTCCATAAGTTTTGATGACCGTATCGTTAGCCGCGATGAGTGACAACTTGGTACTTGTCGTGTGTTTCCGCCGCGAGAGGTGCAGTAGGATGATGCTAATTTCTGCTCCTATATCGACTAAAAAGTCTGAGCCAGAAATATGATCCCGGATGTGGAAGAGGCGGCTAGCGTGTGGGCCAGTAGCAGACGCCGCCATTACTATCTGACTCGGGGGTTTCCCTGATTCTCTGTGTCCGCCGCAGAAAATGTGCACGGTCTTTTGCAGCGTCGTGCTTTGGTGCCATATTGTTGGTGATACCCACAAACTTCGGATGTTCGCTTCGGTGACCGAGACCGTGGTTAAGAAAAAGATCTTCGTTTGGAAGAGGATCTCGACTGTCTAGCTTGGACGGTTGCGATTGTTGTCTGTAGTGACGCTAGCTGGCTCGTTAATTGCGTTAACTGCCTTTGGAAGGAGGCTAGATAATTGATATCTACTGGTTCAGCTGCTTGCAAAGAGTTTAAACAGTGTTTATCGTGATAGACTTCCATCATTTTATCTGCCATGTCGGCTAAATCATCAAGAGCGACTGATTTTCCTAAGACACTAAGAATTTGTCTAACACTATGTGGTAATCTTTGAAACCACATTTGTTTTAGAAGTGTTTCGTCCAGTTTGTACGGATCGGCCAGTTGTTTCATATGGCGAAGAAGTTGGGAGGGTCGCCTGTCTCCCAAGTCACAAGAGGTTAGTAATTAGTGTAGTCTTTTTTCGTCTGAGACAGACCTGCGCTGAATTACTGCCGCTTTTATCTTGTCATAAGGTTCTGATTCAGGCACGTGGTCGATTAGGTCCCCAACTTCCGTGGCAATCTCTATGGGAAGTGCGCCAACAATATAGGAGTACATAGTTGCTTGGGAACGTATATTTCTAGCCATGAATAAGGCTTCGATTTGTGCAAACCATATTCTTGGGTTATTAAACCCGTGTGCTGAAAGTCTGAATTCTGAGACAGTATTAACTGAACTTAAAATGTTTTCAGTAGAGTTAGGTCATGAGACAATAGTTGTTACTGGAGGGGAATCAATATCGGTAAGTTTAGTGGGAGATGACATTATGAGAACAATAAACCAGTATATCGTGTGAAATGGTAAACAATATAACAGTGGGGATAAACAAGAGGCTCACCAGAAAATTGTGTTGGACCAGACAACATAATAACCCAAAAGATAATAACAGAGTTATTAATAACAAATAATAATAATACATATATATATGTCAAATGTTATAAACACAATAAAAGTAAGGAACGTTACTTAGTTCACCAGGAGAGTGCGTGTTCCAAATTGATCTGGTATTAAATATCCACAATTACAGATGGCTAATAATTCCAGTAAGTTTGATGGATTCCCCAATGATATGATCCAGCGTACATATGGTATATTCCAGTTACAGTCTGTAAAGGTAAATGGTATTTGATTCAGACTTCGGTTAACACAAATGCGAGTGAATGTAGAACGATAGGTATGTGCGAAGTAGTGTATTCGGTAAAAACCACAACAGTGTCACGCTATGTTAGAATCACAACGGAAAAAGTGTTCAAGGTCATACACTTAAACAACAGGTACAATCATTTGATGATAAATGTACATGCAGTGGGAAATTAACAGAATAAATACAAATAACATTAAAACTATTTACAAAATAAACTTGGCAGGCTTATCTCTTTAAACCTGTGAATGATAATTAAGAACATGGAAACAAATAGTTTGAATTTCCTAAATGTCCAAATGAAATAAAAGTATGACTGTTTTCACCTATGGAAATTGAAAGCTTAAAAATCTTGGACTCGGCTTGCATCATGGCGGTTCTTTTAAACATTTGCGCTTCGTTGATACGCATGGCTATCTAGGGCCCTAACCAATAAAGTTGGTCACGTCTTCAGGGTCTTCATGTAAGTTAATTGACAACAAATTTTAAAGTAGTTACTCAAGAGATTCCTTAGGGCTTAATTGTCTTGGTTTTATTGTCACGCCTACACCAAAATAAATTAAAAAGGGATGATAAGGGTGAACATTCAGAAAGTATAGGTGGAAAGATATCAGTTTGTCTTCTTTGTTCTTCATCCTAGAGGATTTAGTGGGAGTTTTTCTGTTATTTCCTTGATGAAGGAAAATATCTCAAAATCTATAACTTAAACTTCGGCTAACTTATTCTTGAAATTAACCCTTAATTGTCTAGTTTTCCCCTGTATTCACACCAAATAGTTTACTTTCCGTGGGACACGCCTCTAGCTTGAATATACGCCGAATACTCTAATTTTCGCACGGTTTGTAAATCTTTCTATCAAATTGACAGTGACTAGCCCACAATCCCCTACGTACCTCGTCAGTTTTTTTTAATTCCTCGGGCAGATGAATTTTCTGTGACGACTCGAAAGAATGATCTATATGAGGAAAGCGATCCATTTGAATTACATTTGCAGTCCCTAAAATTGTTTATATCCGGGTCACAGTCAACTGAAATATGACTAAAAAAGTTTATTGTCCTCAGCCAAAACTGGAGTAAATTCGGCATTTCAAACGAGCTTCCCCAAGCACATATATAAGGGAACTTTCATTCCAAGAAAAATACTAGTTCATGCAAGCTTTCGTTTGTTGCGTTTGGTTCGCTTCAACTCAATAAATCCAATTGAAAATGTGGATGTATGTTTAGGTAAACTCACTGTACGGAAATGGATAGCAGTATACAAAATAACAGTCATAAAATAGTGAAAGTCAACCTACCTTCGATTGTCAGTAAGGAGCCCTTGAGTCCTGGAATAAGGCACTAATTAATGGTTACTAAGGGGTTCTTGTTAAATCTCCGTTAAAAACTCGTTACAAGTTAAGATACAACTTAAAGTAGTACCGAAAAGTCTGTACCTGCGTCAAAAACGGAAAGCAGAAATTAACAGTGAAAATTGTAACGTTATCATCACTTTGATAACAATTCGTATACACTATCTCGTGTTATAAAAGTAACCTTGCGTTGAGGCATCTTAAAATTTGGCAAGATCTTCACTAACATTGGATGTTAATGATAATTACGGTGTTACTGTACTTAGTACATGTCACAGAAAGGTGACTGTATACTGTTGTAAAATCTTAACCTATAAATACTGTTTTGTGATAGTCCTCATCAGTGCAAATGTCTTGCTGATTTTTTCGGTTGGTTATTCATCTGCCCAATTACCGTGGTCGTCTGAAAAGCAGAAAAATTATAAACTAAATTAATTGGCTTACAGATTTATCTCGACCATCTAATTGTCAAAAATACATATTTAACACTCCAATTTCCTCTCCAGTTGACAAACGAACCAATCTTAGTTGGTGTATGTGCATTTTATGCAGATTGCATTGATATGGCCATTATGACAAGTTTATATACAATAGATAAAATGTAGCTAGCTGTGAATTCCAAATGTTGCTAAACTTGTCCTATATTACACTGCTGGCTACATTCTATCCGTTCTGCATAAACTTGTGTCATAATGGCTAGCAGGGGAGTTAACTTGCCAACCAAATTGCATAAGCATCTTAGAAAAGGCTTGGGCCGAATGATTTACTACTTTCTTGTCCAGCCCTCTGTTATGTCAAACAAATTAGTCTTCGTCTAAAGAGATTACGATAGTCTCTTTGACGTTACTACACTCTGAACTAGTCCTTTAACCAACATCCCAAGGTTTTTAATTGGCTTCTCAACAATCTTATAAATTTCTGAGTTGGGTAGTGGTTAGCAGTAGAATCCAGGAGGTGCGTTTCGTTCTACGTATGACTGGTAACAATATCAAGGCAATTCTCTCAGAATGCTTAAACCAAAAACGATTGACCAACTGCAGTCTCAAACACCAGGACTACGTTCTTTTTAAACACCTGTTTGGATAAGTTTTTCGAAGTTTTACCTCACTGTATAAGGATTCTCATTAAAAATATTTTGAGTATGTGCACTTGTACTTTCATTGGTTCCCTTTGGTTGTACACATTTATATTTCCGTCAAAGGTTTTTATTCGTCTCAGTGTACCTTTTTATATGACCTCATGATATCATGGTTTACTTAACACATCATCTTGATTTGATTGTTGACAATTTTCGTCGTTCATAATATTGCATCATACTCTTCATTATCTAGTTCTATTTTACGACATACTCAGTACTAGTTTTACTCAGGATTATTTATTAATTTCTTTAATAGAAAAAATGTTTGTGTCAAGCAGTATTCATGCTAATCACGCTGATTTAATTCATGATGTAGCCTATGATTTCTATGGTCGACGCATGGCAACTTGTAGTAGTGATCAAATGATTAAAGTACGTGTATATTGTTTCAAAAATACTTATGATATACAAAATTTGTTATTATTTTGTTTATTATTTATTTTATTTTAAAACATATTGGTACAAGGATGCACCAAATACATATGCGCCACATAGATATCAATTGATATGTGTGAGGGCTGTGATACTACCCGGGTGCCCAAACCGAAGCAGGTGGTTTTCTTAGGAGGCCACACCGCGAGCCTTCGACCTGAAGATCTGATCCACAAGGCAGTGGAGTATCGTGAGGTGATACCGTCCCATGGTAGCCGGTGACCAATGATTGGTTCATACGCCATTTGTTCCTTCAGGATACGAGAGTCCATGTTCACCATTGGTTTGGGGTTCGGTTAAAGCGCCGGACATTCACTTTTCGTCCTCTCATTTTCGTAAACAACACCCCCGCCACGAGAAGGCAGTGAGTAGGACTTCCCTAGCAGAGGCTGTAAACGCGTGGCCATGTGAGAGTATTTCGAGAGGGAGAGCGGACTCTCCCCACTCTCGGCCGTACCAGGGCGTTTGGGGATTATGTTATGAAGGCGGTTTTTAATGACTAAATTTTAATTTTCGAAATCAGTGCATATAACACTAGTCGATAGGTAGACGCAATAATATGAGGTGTAACCGAATAATAGCTGGTCAAGAGAGTTAATTATTGACTTAAATCCCCGAACAACTATAAGTCGAAAACTAAACCACTAACCAGATGAGCAGATAGGATTTTTACGTAATAGGATAACATGCTTGTATACAAAATATGAACACAAAATAAACGTGGTAAAATTTCACAGGCGAAAGGAGAAAACCAGCTTGTGGATCACCCATTCTCTAATCAATCAAGATCTAACTAATAGGCCTAATCTTTGGGCATCCCATCAAACTATTAGATAATAATAAATTATCTGAGCAATGGCCTAGAAATATAACATCGTATAAACTGCAGGTTACTTTCACATAAAATATTAGTTGAATCTGATTTAGTGATTCGAAGTTCATTTTTGAATAAATATTCATTCTATGTACAGTTTGTAATCACCGCTTATTAGTTTGTTTTGAGTAGAAAACTCGAATAGGCTCTTAAGAGTCAGTAATTGAATATCCTGACAGGCATGCCTTGTTATTGGTCTCAGTGGCTCAGATTCATCCATTCTTTATTTTCTTAGTACTTTAAATCATAGATATTTACTTGATTATAAAGGGCATCAATCTAAGAAATTCGTGCATATACTCTCTGAAAGTTACAAATTATTTTGTGTTAAACAAAAGCTCTGAACACATATTCTTAAATAATGACACTACATCCCATAACATTTATAAAATAGTTTTTTCTTTTCTGAAATAAAAATGGTAGAATTTTAGTGATATATGCAAGTTCTTTTTTCAAGCACTGTATATCATAATGTAGATGAAAGTATCGTTTGGAAGACTTTTAGTTCTTGTTTGCTCGTGTTTACTAATTTCAATTTTATTTTCAAACCGGTCTCATAACACTTAACTATTTTATTTATTGTACAACCAGTATAATTATAGTGTCTGACCAGGTTTCCTATTATTCATCATTTCTTAATGCTAGAAACTGAAAATCCTTCTTCATCTTTCACCAGGTGGTCAGTTCGGAATAGGTAAACAACTTGACTTTGAACAATCAGTTTTAGAAAAAAGAGTAAACATGATCTTTTATTCAAACTTTTAAGCATAATTAGATAGAATTAAATAACAATTCAAATGTAAGTCATTTGATGAAAGAAAATCAATCGCTTACATCAGAATACCATTTTAAACCATCTATCGACTACATAAATCATTAAATGGAATATAGCTCAAACTCATCAGTTCAAGTTACCACATTTTCCAGTTATATAAAAAGGTCAGTAGAACTAAAAAATTGTAAAACATGCGAGAGATGAAACAATCTCTGTCATCTCGAGGACCACATCCAGGGCGTATGTACTTTTTTCGCGGCTCAGAGACAGCTCAATACTTTATATTCTGATCCATCTTCGCAGATTCTGTAAAATTTGTTTTTCTAGTTGTTGCCACTTCCGTTAGAGCTGTACCATATCGTATGCTCATGTCTCTCTTCCTTCGTTATTTGTATTAAATTCAAGTACAACTATTCCGTAAAACACTCATCTGAAATCCCTTTACTTCACTTTTCTGTGTATCTCCGCTGATGGCAGTGATGTTTAATTTGTGAATGAAGTAACCACCCAGTTAAATCCAAGGCAAGAGGAAGACTTTCTCAACACTATCTATAATTTATAAATCTCAAGAGTACTATGTAAAATACTCTGTTCAAAAGATTTTATTGCCCACTAAATGAGGAAATCATCGCTCATTATTTCAATTTTTTGCTTAACGTTTTCTAAATCAATTTAGGAAACATCTTAAAGAGTAGTTTATTGGTTGATTCACTTCCACATAACTTTCAACTAGTGTTCATCTGTTTGTTTAATTTCATCGAAGAGAAGGGGCAGTGTGGAATTTAGCCTTAAAAATTTAAGCTTATTTTCCAAATAGGTGTATCATTTTACTGACTCATCATACTACTTATTGTCTTTACGTTGTAATTTTCTCTCTTTTTAAGTGATAATATTGCGGTATTGATAAGACTACTGAAACCTCAATAGGTTATTATTATTATTAGTATTATTATTATTGTTATTATTATTATTGTTATTATTATTATTATTATTATTATTATTATTATTGCCATTATTATCACCGTTGTTATTATTATCGTTACATGGGGAATATAAGCTGAATAGTTCTTTATTTAACGTAATTGTTCCTTAATACTTATTGTTATTGTTTTTGTGGTTTATACTAAAAATGTCTTGTTGACCTTTTATTTCATGATAGTAAGGAGTGTTCTTTTAAATTCCCTTTATTATCGCTTACCTGTTATTGTTATCACGCATGGTTGAGGAGCTTACTGCTATAGTAACCATATCTTACAAATATTTTGGTCATAATTCAACTACTAAACATTATTGATGATAACTTATTATAGCGTTTTTTTTAATAAGTGATTTTACACAACTTTCTAATGGTTGGATTATATTTCATAGTTATCTCCACTTAGAAAGCCTCAACCATCGAGTCATGCTATTCTTATTCATCTTTGTTTATTGCCCATTTATATGTCTGGGTCATATATGGATTCATTTTTAATATTCCTTTGAACAGATTCATTTAGCTATTTTGTTTATTTTTATTGCACTTATTAAGTATATGGTCATTCATAATTCATATATAATTAATTATGCTCAATCATTGCTCGTTTGGTGGAACCAACAAGTTGGGTGTATTGATGGAGGTGCAGTAATTTGGACCAGTACATATTCATACTATCAAATGCGTTATCCACGACCGACTGATTTAAAATATAACTGTTGTTCATGACAAAATCGTTCATGTTATTCTGCAAATCTCTTCTGACATTTTAAAAACTATCGGTTGCAGAAAAACGAAACAATTTCGTGTTGTTGATTAAGATACATTAAGTATATTCAAAGTTTATGTAAAATGTCTATATGTCTTTTAAAGTTGAAAAGAAGGTGACTGTAAAAGTCATGATTCTAACTATTTCAACTATTCAACTAATCCGTCTATCTAGTTCGATTATAAGTGTTCTACTCTCTAGAAGAGACCATATAGCTGCAAAAGAATGTATTCATTGAATGTCTATATGAAACAGAAATAATGAGTTCACATAGTTTTGTTTCCGTGAACAAAACAAGAAGTTCGACCCGCTCTCATTTGATTCAACAACAGAAGAATTCTCCAAAAAAGTTTGTTTTGATATTTGTTTGTGTTCTGAATAATTTAAAATATTTATATTTGAAACTAGGAATTTAGAGGCTTCAACTTTTGAAACCGTTTGGATATTTTTCTTTAAAATGTCGTTTCGGTAAATGTTTGTACTCTAGTTATGTCATTTGTCCTTGGCCTTCCTCTTCCAACCAAAATAGTTAGTGAAGCCGGTAGGCTCTTCTGAAGAAGAGGAATAAATGGAGGCACGTCACAGCTACCGGGTCGCAATAGTTGTTTCTACATTTGATTGTTATGTTCTTAATCTTATCTCCCGTCCTGACCATCATTGTACTACATAGCAGCGATTGATTATTCCTTTCTTTGTTTAAAGTTTCTTTTTGCATCCGTTGTATGGCCATTGATGTAATTTATTTGTTGTTTCTATGTTATGGTTTCGTGTTGTTTGATCATGTGTATTTGTGAGAGTTTGTGTTTCGTCTGTTGAGATGGTTTGCGTGTGTTGAAGGTGGCATGTTAGATGTCTTTTTATCAACCCAGCTGTATTATAAGCTTTGCTGCAATCCCCCCTGTGGAAATTTACGTTCTGTCATAATTGTATGTTCACAAGGTTGATGGTCATTCCTCATGTTTGCTTATGTCTCTGATGACAAAGCCTATAAAAAAGCTGAATAGCTAAAAAGACATCTAGCTAATTACATAGCTTCAGCACGTCAAAAATCAGCTTTAAATTCTAAATATTTTTCAAGGTACGGGGGATTAAATCAAAAATATAGTACAAACGGTAATTCGCAATCAGAAGGAATTAACAACTCGTGAAAACATTATTTGTGATCTTATATTCTTCTATAATCCATACTTCGTTCTGTCATCTCGTATATCTTAATAGTTGTCACATGTGTATATCACATTAAGTATTATCGTATTTTCAACTTTGTAACTGATACATTATTACTCACAGTTATTGGTATATTTTAAGGTAGAGAAAACAGTGCAATATTTCTTAAGCTTTCTACATTAATGGTTAAAATACTTTTATAAATTCTTAGATTTGGGATTTAAAGGACAATGAAGAATGGGTATGCACTGCTTCATGGCGATGTCATTTAGGATCAGCATGGCGTGTTACTTGGGCACATCCTGAATTCGGTCAGGTTATCGCTACCTGTTCATTCGATCGTACAATAGCTGTATGGGAGGAAATTGCAGGCACTCAAGTAAGTAATTTTGCGTATTCTTAAAGATTCTTGCAAACTATGTAAGGTAGAAACATGTAATGTAATTTCTAACCTTTGACCTACAGTATTTCTATAATCTGTTTGTAGCTAATTAACTTTTTCTTTATAATTGATAGTCATTTATGTGAATAGATGCGATAGAACTATGCAGTCACCTAAACATTTTATTTCCTCATATTGATCGTTATAAATAAGAAACTTTTTGTAAAATTAAGAGGTGCATTGTAGATTATAGTTTCCTATGACTCGTTCAAGTATCTACATTTGTAGTGTTCTTGTTTTTATGTTTAAGTATAAGTTCCGTTTGTGTTTGATCTAATCTACTCTTGATTTCTACTTTTTTATTTTACATAGACTATAACAAGTGGTGGTGAAAATGATGGTGGTACTAATCAAACTCCTTCAACTGTAACAAACATTACGTATGGAAGTCAGTCAGCAAACACTAATTGGATAAGACGTGCCTACCTTGTTGATCCACGTACTTCTGTGACTGGTCTACAATTCGCTCCAAGGCATCTAGGTCTTCAGTTAGCTGCTATTTCTACAGATGGCATGTTGCGAATTTATGAAGCACTGGTAAGCAGGTATCTTCTTTGTTAGATATATATTTGGATTCCACTACGTAAGCATTATTGTAATGGTAATTTCGAAAATTCTTAGTCTGTTTTTTTTATAGTTAACTGTTGAATTCATTGAGAGTAATATGATAACCAGGATGTTTTAAAGAGAAAATTTGATGGGAAAAAGCGGTACCAGTTTCTTCAATCTCTGATACTTACTAAATGTTCAAGTTAATATGACATTTTTCTGTATGCAGTTAAGGATTTCAAACTTTATAAAGTTAAGCATACACATTAGATATAAAGCAGCTTAGTTCATTTTTAAAGTAATCCTGTTTATATACTAATTGTTCACCACCGATCGTTCGAATTTTTGAATCTACATCGTATCAATTATCAATGAATACTGGTTTTTTCTTTCTCTTTGCTCTTATCGTTATCCATATAATTAAAAAAATCATCACATCTGAGTGCAAACATTTCTTCAAAAAATATTGACATTTAATATGTAGAAAAAGCATCAAAGTCATCTAACTAAATCATAACACTAATCAATAAATTCGTTGACTATTCACCTAAGGTGTGTAGTTTGATCGGTCAGATGTTAGAAATATACATTTGTTGTTGAAACGGACCACAAATTATGACATTTATTCTGGTGGTAACCGATTAAAACTTATACAGTATGGTAGATATAACTTGTCATTTCGATTATATATAACCTTCCGGTATTTTAATTGGGTCCTATCAGTTAAATTTATCAAAGTAAAATTGATTGAGTTTTAGAAATGGCTTAAACAAAAATGTTGTATGTAAATCGAATCCTATATCTAATACATCATTTAATACAATTATCGAATTCAAAACTGAACTCAATGCAAATGTTATGGATCATCAATCGTGTAAACCAGTTTATTGTTTAGAATTCTAAATGTACTCGTGAGTTTTTATGGAATTAGAGTTGGAAAATTCGAACTATGTTACGAAAGTCAATGGTATGTCAATAATTGAAATCATGAGTCAATTGAAGCTAGACCACCATGGAAAACCTGGAAGCTTTAAACGGCCGTTTCGTCCTAGTATGGGACTCCTCAGCAGTGCGCATCCACGATCCCCCCCGCGGGATTAAAACCCAGGACCTATCAGTTTCAATGGAATGTTTTTGTGTTGAATTTTATTGAACAAAGAAACTCTTCTTTAGAGGTATATTCACAGATCAGCTAATGAGAAAGAATAGCAAACTACTTACCATTGCGAAATTAAAATAATTTACATTTCCTCATTGGAAAATTCCTGACCGTTGTTGCTACCTTGACCTGGTAGTCAGGCTTGCCTATCGTGATGAAGCAACTGAGCTATACTGGCTGGAACAACCGTTCCTCAAGGTCCTACCATGCCAGACAGGCCGGTTGAAGAGCGGTAAGACTAAAAGCAACAAAACCAAGGTCCGAAGTCGTACTGCTGACTGTACAGAGGTGTGGCAGCAGTAAGGTGTTCCCTTCAGACAACCAGCATAACAGCGATGCTGCCTTCCCACAAGGAGCGGTGGGGTTAGAAAAGGTCGACCCTAAAAATGCACACCTCGCCTTATCCCATGGATGTCCGTCTCCGGCGGTAAGGTCTCAACAAGTACGGAGCTAACACAAAAATTACTCATAAAAAGGTCGTGTGTGACCGACCTCAAGCAGCTGTCCCTTGGGCACTGCGGTCACACTTTCAGGTCACTAAGACCACCTTTAATCCAATTTCCTTTGCAGGTACCTCCAGGAGAACCCTTCCACGGTTTGGGCAACCGGGAAGTGATAACCGCCCTCATACCTCTAACAGCACTCAAGACCACTGTATTCATAGTCAACCTCCCTCTTCAATTCCTATTATTCCTCCTATATTGATTTTCAAACCTGAACTTCCTCTTTCGACTTCCTCCTCAAGTGTCACCACAGCCAACGATTCTAGTGCGCAAAACACTGTCCCAAGTCTACTGAAACCTCGCTCCAAACAACACATTGGAGCCTTCAACGTACGCACACTATACCAAATCGGTCAGCAGGCTTCCTTGGCTAAAACCTTAGAATCTCGTACGATTGATGTATGCTGTGTCTCCGAAACACGCATACAGGATCCTAGTGTGGTCATTCACTTGACCTCACCTCGGCAAAACGGAGAGCCGACAAGATACACCCTCCGTGTATCTGGCGACCCGATGGCTAGTTCTCGTAGACTGGCAGACGTAGGCATAGCACTAAGCATGAGGGAGGAACAAACACTATTAGAGTGGATCCCCGTCAACATTCGTCTATGCGCTGTTCGGCTAAACGGCTTGGTAAAAACTCGAAAGGACAGGGACACACGTCGTTGCTTTATTTTCGTTTCTGCCTACGCTCCCACTGACTGCAGCTTGGATGAAGTGAAAGATGAATTTTACAGAAAACTCCCTGAACTTCTTCAGAAAGCTAAACGCTCAGACATAGTATTCATAGCAGGCGACTTTAATGCCCAAGTAGGTAGCTTAAACGAAACAGAAAGACATTTAGGTGGGTATTTTAATATTCCGGCACCGCGAACAGATAATGGTGATCTTCTGCTGCAACTGTGCTCAGACAATCGTTTATTTTTAGCAAACACAAATTTTAAGCATAAGGAGAGACATCGTCTAACATGGCGACCCCCTGCACCAAATCAACGATGGACTCAAACAGACCATATTGCCATCAGTCATCGTTGGAGAGGCTTGATAGGAGATTGTCGCTCATTCTGGAGTACCTGTTTGGACTCCGACCATGCCTTAATACGAGCACGCATCTGCTTGCGCCTCACTGGACGCAAAAAAGCCACACAAAAAAGACTCATTAGAACCGAATTGAGTAATGAGAAAACCAAAAGTAGGTTCCAAGAACAACTGAGGTCACACTTAGGTTGTTCTGAAAACGAGGCTGACCCCGATGTTGATTGGAAAGACATACAAGCAGCTGTGGAAACAGCAGTGATATCTATTAGTGATTTAAACCACAGAGTTACAAAGAACCAATGGATTTCTTCAAGCTCTATTGCACTGATGGACTCTCGTAAACTCATCCCATCAGGATCTGAACATGATGAAGAGCGTAAGCAAATCAGATCTAGGTTAAGCAAAAGTCTAAGGAACGACCGTGAGCAGTGGTGGGAAACGAAAGCAAAAGAGATGGAAAAGGCGGCGGCTATAGGGAACACAAGACAACTCTACAGACTAATAAAAGAAACTGGAATCAATAAGTCAAGTGTAAGTCAGACTATTTCGGAAAAAAACGACTCTCTTATCTGCTCCCAGTCCAGACGTTTAGAACGATGGGCGGAACACTTTAAGGAGCAGTTTAGCTGGCCTTCAGCTACTGTACATTTACCCTCTATTCCCAGACAGTGTGAATGAAGCATTGAAGTAGGTCCCCCAACTCTAGCTGAAGTTCAAAAGGCTATAGCTAATCTGAAACGAGGAAGGGCAGCTGGTCCGGATGGATTGGTTCCAGAGGTCTTTAAGGATGGTGGTCAAATTCTAGTGATTAGGTTGACTAGTATTTTAGCTAAAATCTGGGAGTTGGACGTTATCCCATCTAACTGGTCACAATCACTTATCGTCCCAATATTTAAGAAAGGGTCAAAATCATCCTGTGACAACCATAGAGGGATTAGTTTGACTAATATAGTATCTAAAATACTAGCCTCGATAATTTTCGGACGCCTAACTAAGACTCGTGAACTGCAAACACGTGAAAATCAGGCTGGCTTCAGACCTGGTTGTGGCTGCATCGACCACATATTCACCATTCGTCAGGTTCTAGAACACAGGCATACTTATCGGCGTCCGACAACGGTGGTCTTCCTTGACTTAAAAACAGCATTTGACTCTGTTGACCGAGAGGTTCTGTGGCAGTGTCTGTCATTGAAAGGCGTACCTCAGAAGTACATAAACATTGTGAAAGCTTTTTGCCTGAACACTACTAGTCGAGTCAGAGCTTATGGCGAACTGTCATCTGCTTTTGCAATCTCAAAAGGTGGCCGTCAAGGCTGTCCATTTTCTCCATTTTTGTTTAACTTCGTCAGAGATCTACTAATGGAAATAACACTCATCGACTAAATTCTCGGGCATTGATCTCCTACCAGTAGGTCCACTTATCGACTTTGAATACGCAGATGACATAGTCCTGTTTGATGAAGACGCTGATAAAATGCCGAGTCTTTTGGTAGCACTGAGCAACAATGCCAGAATGTTTGGGATGCGCTTCTCTCCCTTTAAATGCAAGTTGTTGCTTCAGGACTGGTCTGTGTCAACACCTGAACTAAGGATAGGGAGTGAAGTAGTTGAATGCGTTGACAACTTCACTTATCTTAGAAATCTGATCATCCCTAATGGCTTGGTGTCTGACGAAATCTCAGCACGGATTCGAAAAGCTCGTTTGGCCTTTGCCAACTTACGTCATCTATGGCGAAGGCGAGATATCCGTCTATCAATTAAGGGACGAGTATACTGCGCGGCAGTTCGTTCCGTTCTACTATACGGCTGCGAAACATGGCCTTTAAGAGTAGAAGATACTTGTAAGTTACTAGTATTTGACCACAGGTGCCTTAGAAATATTGCGGGTATGTGCTGGGATCACCGGGTAAGTAATAGTGAGGTTAGACGCAGGGTATTAGGGAATGATGGTAAATCAGTTGATGAGGTTATGAATCTTTATCGACTGAGATGGTTGGGCCACGTGTTGCATATGTCTGAACACCGATTGCCACGACGCGCAATTTTGGCTAGTGTTGAAGATGGTTGGAAGAAAGTTAGGGGCGACCAAACCAAAACATGGCATCAGTGTTTGAAGACACTAACTTCTGGGCTGAGCCATGTTGGTAGATGCAGACTGTCTGGTTGGGGTACGCGTGACTATCGTAACCAATGGTTGGAGACTCTTGGTGACATGGCTCAGAATCGATCACAATGGCGTCGGTGTATACACTCTCTGTCTTCCTTTAAATTAAGAGATTAAAGTCACTTCATATCTTTCTTTCTACGAACTAATTCTTTCTTCCTGTACTACCTCCTTATATGCAATCTTTCTTCTATATATTTCCACCACTGAATTAACATCTTCTATGAATCCGGTGTTCATCTTGTTGTGCTAATGCGGTATGGCAACTTGGACTGATGCATATATGTGCCTGGTCCTACGTTGCAGCTGACTGACTGACTGATTGGAAAATTACTTGCTTATCTTTTATTTTGTTTTTCATAAAATATTGGAATTTGTTCATTCCCATTTCTGTTTTTCTTATTACCTGACTGTGTTAAAGGATGTTATGAATTTAAGTCAGTGGCGTTTACAGTTTGATTTCGGTACTAAAATGGCTGGATCATGTTTAGCATGGTCTCAAGTATGTCTTTTTTATTATATTTTGTAATAAATATACACGTTATAATTATAAAGGGTTTTATATGTCCATAACTGTGCATATAGAATATACTTGAAAAGTATACGACTACTAGTCGTTCTTATCTATTGATTACTTTTCTCGTGCTTTATGTTTTTTTGATCCAATAAGCTCACACTACTGATTAAGCTCTTGAATAGTGTCTTGTCTCTGTAGTCATTGTCCAGTGTTAGTGCAACCCAGTAATTAAGTAGAAGTTTATGTATGCATGCTCATCGTTCAAACATATTCATTGTGTGAGGAAGCTGATAACACTAACTGAACGAATAACCTGACTAAATTACGTGTGGTAGAATTCAAACTAATTATTCAGAAGAATAATTTCTAAATCGTATAAGCGTTACTAATCAGTAGAATAAAACAACTTTCATATTGTCGTTGGCTAACTCTATAAAATCAGCTTGACTTAAAAGACGCGGTCGGTCCATAGTTTCTAGCATACACAAAATTAATTGAATACGGATTGTAAAGTATGTCAATCATTCACATGTACCGTTGTTTATCAAATAAGAAAGAATTCAATCTAAAATATTTTCTAAAGTTTTTGATGTTCAGATTTTTAAATCAACTGAGAGTAGTAAGTTACTGGTCATGTTCAATTTGTAGGTTGTTTACTTTTCAACTGTAGCTTATTATCTACTTCGTAGATTCGTACACTAAAGTCTCTGCTCTGTATTTAGCTTTGTATGAGTAGGAAATGTAGTCAAATCTCGTTAAATAGAATTGTTTCTTATCTCTTACTATACAAATTTCCATTTAGTTACGGTGTTACAATATGTATGTTGCTATTTTAACATCATATGGCACATTGTTATAAATGAAACCGTAAATATAGACAATCACACATTAGTATCCAAATGTTTAGATTGTTTTGTTTTTTAAAGTAATCAATCCATTTTCATCAATATTTTTTTAGTCACGTCTTGATCCACCTTTAATTGCTGTTGGCAGCGTTAGTCCTAATGATCCAGATACTGCGGATAATTCAGACGGTTTACCAGCACATCATTCTATGTCTCATTCAACAGCGCATCCAACAAATACTCTAGTGAACGGTAAACTTATCCTTTATGAATATTCTGAAGCTAGAAGGCATTGGTATCTTGTGGAAGATGTGCATGCGCTGAATGATCCTATTTACGATGTGTCATTCGCTCCACATATGGGTCAATCATATCATACATTAGCTGTTGGATCTAAAGAATTGTATATATTAAGAATTAGACCGTTTAACTCCAATCAGTCTTCTAGTTCAATGATGAAAAGTAAGTTAAATATTCACATTTTTTATACATGATTTTACTAGACAATTTTTTTAAGAACTGGGTTTGCCTATAAGTGTTTTCTCTTAAATATCATATTGTATCTGTTCATCATTTTCACTGCCAATTAGAGTTGGAGATATAACTTTGCATAACTTCATATGGTAGTTTATACTTTTTAATTCGTCAGTAAGTTGTAACCAAGTGCAAATAACAAATTATAAAAAATATCACAAATTCTTTAAATTTCATTAACTTCTGTCTAGCTGTATCAAAAATAAATAAATAAATAAATACTATCACTTACAATTTCGATTAACATAATATTCACTTGATATAACTTCTAGTACAGTCTATAGGCTTAAACTGTATTGCTTGTAATAGACGTTAATCTTATCAAGAAGCAGTAGTTTGACAAAAATTTCAGTTAGGTAACCATTTGGAATCAAAGGATAATGAAAAGTTTATTTATCCATTTTCTTATAGATCATATCTGTTCAGTATCAAATTATAATTTTAAATTTTAAAAAAGTACGTTTTAGCTACATATACACAACAAATAAACTCTATAAATGTATTTTGTTTCTTTTCCAATTACCGGCTTGTTCAAACTAATTCTTTAATATAAAAATATATATTATCAAATGCAATAATTGCTTATATCGTTCTAGGTAAGGATTTAAATCCTAACTTAAAATAATATAAATACCATACCGACTGTACAACCTGTCGCCTATTTAAACTCACTAGATGAATAGATTACCCGTTGCAAGTGTTAAAGGCAAAAGATATTGGGTTCATCAATACTGAAATTCAGATACGTTCAGTTGATGAGTTCCAGGTAGAATGAAAGCACATTGTTATTATTAATTTTCTAAAACTTGTGATAACTTCTTGTTCTGTTTCTTTCAAGTCCACAACTGAAAATGTTCCACTTTAAGTTCACACATCTTTCAATTTATATTCATATATAGGAAAATAAAAGATAGTAGAAATTAAGTAAATTTTAAATGATTATTTATAGAGAGAGAACCCTTGATTCTAATTATTTATTTTTGTTAAATATTGTTTTTAAACTTAATTGGTTTATTTTTGTTCTTTAGTTACGGCTATTCCAGCATTCAAGAGATTTACTGTAAACTAGAGGTAGTTTATAAGTTTAAATGTTACTTCACTTTGGTCTAGGTAACCGGTTAATATCGCTAGCTCAAAATTGAGTACAGAAATGTGTAAATAAGTTAAATTACACGATGTGGATATTATTTTACAAGTCTCAACGTTATAACTTTCTATTTTATACTTGTTGTTTTGATCTGTATTGAAAATAGACCATTAATTTAGAAACGTAAACAATAAGGAAGCTGATATAGCGGGATAATTAAACTACTTTTTTCCTCCCACGATATGCTACTTTAATATGATAATTCACCCGGTAACCAATATTATATTACCACTAGACTAGATACTCGATCGGTACGCTACACACAAACTGGATCACGTTATACCAGGTACACGATTCATAACCAAACATAGAGAACCAAAGTAAAGACTGCACAATACCTTATTCAACATAATTATAAACAGTTTACACTTGCTGAGTCCAAAGTAGAATCAGTGGTAAAACGGAAAACACAAATTATATAGTAAGTTGTGGTCAGCCACACACTAGGAATGTTTCGTCTTTTTCAAAAAATGTAAATGTCTTTTTATTAAGAGAAAGCGTGTTTAATATTAAAAAGTTCCTAAATTAACCTGCATAATTAAACACTACTTTTCTACGATTTTTTTCTTACCGTTTAATAGATGATAATTCTAGTTCCAATAATTTGTCATTGTCAAGATCGAATCTACCTGTACGTAATCCGTACGAAATTAGAATGATGGCACGTTTCGATCATCATGAAGGACGAGTTTGGCATGTTTCTTGGAATGTAACTGGTAAAGTTTAACAAAGTTTATTATAGTTAAAAAGATGTTGATCAAAGAACCCAACTGATAAGTTATATGATACTCTTTGATTGTATGCAATTTTTCAGTTTACAAACTGGTGACAAGTAGCTTCATTAAAATTTTGCAGCACATTTTTGCGCTTATATTTGTCCACCTTTTCATTCGTCTATTTTGTTTGAAATCTAAGAATATTCGTCGAAATGTGGGTGTTAATAACAAGTTTGACGTTGGCCCACTGCCTTAATCAAATTCTCAAGGAGTAGACCCCCAATAAAACTACCTGTCTCGGTGTAGCCGCTCAGACAGTATCCCAGCCTACATGTAGATATGCTCGTATAGCTCATTCTATTTTTGGTGCTCATTTATACCAGATTTTATGTGAATTAGAAAAATCATACATATACAAATATCCTAGAATAGGTCGAATGTATAAATCACTACTCTACATAAACTTTTGCTAACCTATCGTCAATGAATTCTTACATGCTTTTTTCGTGGAAAAAACATTCATTAGGTTCTTTACTTGCATCGTCTGGCGATGATGGCTGTGTACGACTTTGGCAAGCTAATTATCTTGGTGTATGGCTTCCAGTTTCAGTTATTAGTCCAGATGGTAGTCGTTGTGCTACAATGTCTAATGGACAAAATAGTCTATCAAATTGTATACTAAAATCATGTTCTTCAGGTCCACTGAAGCCATCATCTGTTTCATCATCAGCTTCACCTATTCGTTTATCGAATTCCACAACTCAAATCAAACAAAATGAACATGTTATGGATCATACTGAACAAACGTCAAACACTAATCTACGTAAGAATATGCACTGATTTTTTTATTTTATACTGAGAAATACAATTGTATCATTGTATTGTTTCTATTTTTATATGATAAATGTACTGAAATTTCTATTCAGCTTAATGTTCATTTAATAAAAACTCAACACATAATCGTCATTGTGTAGTCGGTGATGATCATTACCAAGATTCGTTTTAATGATTGAGCATTGGGTAGATTTCTAGTGAAGAAGCGGCTTACACTGAGCTATGAGACATTAGAAATTTGATTTTCTACGCATTGGAAAATTATATATATTATGTTCCTTTTTATGTAATATTGCATATAGACTGAGGAAGAGATTTAGATAGATTTAATACATCATCATCATCAGAAAACCTTTATTCATACACATGTTTTAGTCAATTTGATGTATCCTACCAAGTGAATGCTTTAATAATTAACTACATTAAATAATGGTTATCAGAAGTGTATAGTTCCTCAAACCTGTCTTATTTGAGTTCTCTACAGAAAGTATTTCACAGCAAACAAGACTATGTAGTTGAAATTAAATATTGATACAATAGATCCTCTAAATGTATATGTTGGCCAACTATTTGAAATTATGTAGGAATTGTAGTTTGTAACAATTTAAGTACATCATAATTTTTTTTTTAAAAAGAATGATTCAATTTATTAATTAAAACTGCTTTCACATTCGTAGATGTAGACAGGTTAAGACTGTGAAAAATGTAAAATAAACATGAAGATTGTACGTTCTATGTCTCTACATCGTTCTTTTAATAAATAAAAAGCAACAACAAAAAGGTCTTAGGAATAATTAAAGAAATGTCTGAAAATGTTAGGTAAAGTTATTAATTGCAATGTTTAGTTTATTGTACACTATAATTATTGTAACTATAGCCTTCATTGTTGTTTTCCTCTTGAACTCAATTTACAGAAAAGGATACTTAGAAATGTAATATTCTGGTGTTTACATCTATAAGCTTAATAATGAAACGTAACTTTTTTTCATGTATCTGTTTCGGCACGTATTCCGAAAACTCGTTTGGCTTTTGCCAACTTACGTCATTTCTGACATACGCAAAATGTTTGTCTATCGACCAAAGGACGAGTATATTGTTCAGAAGTTCGCTCTGTTTGACTTTATGGCTGTGAAACATAGTCTTTAAAAATATGGAACATTCATACTTCGTTTATATTCAATCGTAGATACTTCCAAATCATTCTTCGTGGGTGTTGGGAACACTGGGTGAACGATGCTGGGATTTAAATCAGTGCACTAGTTAAGGATGCGAAATCGGTTGATGTGGTAGTAAATGTTTGTTGCCCATCTGATGGGATGTAACAACTTAAACCGATACAAATATGTACCAGATGCTACGTTGGACATAACTGATTATCGGTGATAACCCTTAATCTATTGATAAGTTAACTTTTGTTTCATCAAAAATACTGATTTTCATCTGACATAAATTATCAGCTAAGGCTGTGTGCACAAAATACGTCTAAATATTATCATTACTACTGGAGTTATTCGTAAATTTATGTATGCAAAAATTTAGTTGTGCAATCAAAAGGTATCTTCATCTAATAATAATAAAGTTTCAATATAAAACTTCTATCTCACTTCTCATTAAGAATCACTTAACTTTAATGATTATTGTGTTTTTCTTGTTTAGCTAAAGGGTCACTTCATGGATGTACAGTTCCATTTCAGAAATTAGCTCCAATTCCAAATCCAAATCAACCTGGTGTATGGCATTAAATAAAATAAAGCTTTAGATGTGTTAATTTCATGTTTTACATTGTATATTTCTTTTTTATCACTTCTGCTAAATAGAATATCTATTGTTGTAATAATTACAAAAATGAATTTATGATAACAAGAATAAAAATAAATTACAATCATATTTTGTGTATAATACTTTTCTTATCGTTGACATCGTTTCCGCGATATGACTGAATATATATGTTTGAACAAAAGTTGAGTTCATCTGTTGAACAAATAGGTTATTATTTCTTCTATGGGGTTGGAAATTGTCATCAAATCTTTACTTATGAATGCTTACAGTATGTAAATGAAGTATGTTGATCTTGTGGAAACAAAACTCAGACATAAAACTAGGTATTTGTAGATTTTGAAAAATTATAAAAGCAGTAGACAATAAATTGGAAAGATTTGATATGTTATTTAAAATTGTTACATTCTACTTACAAATCTTTATCATAATTGAAAGTACTGTTTTCGTATGACACATTAACTTCATACTTGTATCCACTTACTTCTTTTGATTGGGATTAGTTATTTAAGTCTTAAACCTAAAAGTTGGTAACGAAAATTATTATTCTGTTATTTCAAGAGTTATATAACTTTTGATATTCAATTTTCGTTAGTATAGATTTATCTTTTCTGATGATGATTTGTACTCGCCAACTAATTCGACGGTGTTTTTCTACGAAGTGTAGGGTTGACTTCTTTCAAAGTTGATATATACTACAGTAATTCGTTAAGATTTTGTTTTCTTCATTCCTCAACATGCATACAAGTCTAATTTATTGACTTGTAATATATATATATATATATATATATATATATATATATATATATATATATATATCAGTTCATTGACGCTTTATGACCTTTGTTTCTTAGTAAAAGTTCCAGAAAATGGATAAAGTTAGTGCATTCGATAAATAAAACCTTGCATATAAATACACTGAGTTTACTCCCCTCATTAACTAATAATCAATACTAGGTTTGCTAAAAAAAGAAATTTATTTAGAGAAATGAGCAGATAAGGTGAACCATATTTGTGATAATGCTACAAAATTGATAAGGCTAGTACATTCGATTAACTTGAGGTCTACACGATATTAAATATCTGATCTAAGTATTCTACATCACTGTTAGTATATATTGATTAGGCGTTTCGGCCTAATTTTCTTTAAGGAGATGATATAAATTATCAGGGTAGATTCCTTAAAATTTTAATTTCTGATTAATATGATTTTTATTGTATTTATTTATTTGAACACATAAATATTGGTACAAGAGGGCACCAAATATATATGCGCCACACAAAATTTTATTTGTGTGTGGGCTGTGATACTGCCCGGGTGCCCAGACCGAAGCAGGTGGTTTTCTTAGGAGGCCACACCGCGAGCCTTCGACCTGAAGATCTGATCCACAAGGCAGTGGAGTATCGTGAGGTGATACCGTCCCATGGTAGCCGGTGACCAATGATTGGTTCATACGCCATTTGTTCCTTCAGGATACGAGAGTCCATGTTCACCATTGGTTTGGGATCCGGTTAAAGCGCCGGACATTCACTTTTCGTCCTCTCATTTTCGTAAACAACACCCCCGCCACGAGAAGGCAGTGAGTAGGACTTCCCTAGCAGAGGCTGTAAACGCGTGGCCATGTGAGAGTATTTCGAGAGGGAGAGCGGACTCTCCCCACTCTCGGCCATACCAGGGCATTTGGGGGCGATTTTTATTGTACTATTCTGTTGGGAGGGTAACTTCTTCAAACTGCCTTAATTATTTACTACTCCCCATTTTCAGTAAGCAAAATTAATCACTTTAGTCAGATAACTTAATTGAAGTAAGATAATAGTTAACAATAATGTTTATTATATTAAATATTCAATTTCACCCAAACCTTTATTTATAGCTTAGAAATGTAGTGTAACTTTCTTAATAGCGACATAAAAAGCATTTCCGTCGTAGCTTTCCACAAATCCGCTTAATATGTTCAGAAATAGTTGAATTTAACCAAGGAACAAGAGTCACATTCACCTACTTAATGCATATTGTTATAATGTAATCGGAATAACAGCCGAACTAAGTGATTTATTTCAAATAAACTCACCAAATATTGCTTGAAAAATAACTGCGAGTATTTATCGGGACGACTAGCACTTGTGAATCTACGAGATATTGTCCAGTGTTAATAATAATTGCATATGTATATTGGCTTAATTTGGAGAGTGTTTCTCGACAAAGTTAATTTACATATACGTGCTGGTTAGAAATAACGTAAAAGGTATGCCGACAAGAGAAGTTAAGGTGGCTTTTACTAGTCACACTAGAAACTTTAATCTGGTGTTTCAATACCATGCTTTTTGTTTTACAGTCAATTTACAAAGGTGAGTACTACGTGATATCTCCATAAACTGTAGCACATTGGTATTCATCAACACGAGATATAGATCTTTCTAAATTAATTATGAAAATCGGGAGAGTAGTAATTAATTGAAGATGCTGCATAAGGACACTAAACCTTGATTTTGTACATGGAGACCCTTATCAGTAAGGTATATCTGTAACATCCTGGTTATACTTTTTAAATGACTTGATCTGGTGTTTCTTACACAGTAAAACACTATCGGAAACCAGCTACTCAGATTGACTGCACAACATCGTGAAAATATTTATTATCCAATGGCTTATAAACATAGAACGTTTTAAATTCTATCCATTGAGAGGATTATTTTTTTGGTTAGTTGTATCTATAGTATTTAATCACTTAGTTCTAAATATGTTAAATGTTTAATACATGATAAATCTTGAATGATAGTTCTTTCATGAATTCTACTACTGATGAATCTCGAACTCTTGTACTTTGTAACTGTCATCGGTCATCCAACTGATGTTACATAGTAATAAAAATCACCATATACAAGTCAAGTTACTTTTCTCAATGAACAAGTACGTGATTATAAATAGGTATAGCTTCTTTAGCTTAGTAATTCTATAAATCCTGCCAATGCTCAACCATTCATTGTTCAAATGATTCATCTCTCGTCATTTATTGTAAAATGTAATTGTTATAGAAACAAAGTTAAAAATGCCAAAATTTGTATTGGATAGAGCAGACATAATTACTCTGTTATTTATTATCAATTATTCATTAATTAAACAAATTGAATGGGATAATTTTCGCAAGACTAATTATGGAACAGATATAAGTACATGATGTAAAATTCTTAGTTTGCAGTAACTTTGATATATAATTTAATAATTTAAATATATAATTAACATAATTTTATAAATGCATTCAAAAAGTTTCAATGAAATGATTCTACTCATGTTGAGAAAACAATTTTTATGGTGGATTAAAATAAGCAAGAAACTAGTAAGTTCTAGACAGATATTTAGTTCCATTCTTTCATTTCTTTAACTCGATGTATCTATAATTTATTTTAAAACAAAACATAGAAGTTACATGTTTTACAAACAGTATTTTCTTTCCTAGCTTTGGGGAAATTTCTATCAAGTTAAGTAACATCTTTAATGAACAATTCTATATTGAGTATATACTCTTAAAAAATGATTTGAAATAAATGCTTTAATTTGTGAAGTGTTTTCACTGTTATAACTGTGACCTGTATAAAGAACCATCTGCAATAGTGGAGATTTATAGCTCAGGTGAATAATTTTGATGGAATTTTGTTCTCTGAGCTGGATGATTTGGTCGTGGGACTTTCATCGTTCTTCTGAATGTCATTATCAGTACAAACTTCAGGTAGAAGTGAAGTGTTCGAATTTCTCCACATGTGGTTCACAGCTTGTCCTGTAGACCTCGATAAAAGCTTCACAACCAAACCATCCATTTCAGAGAACAAAACCCTTCTGTTTTTTGTATATTTATTCAATCATTTCAAAACTGAACAGATCTTTACAGAAATCTATTTTAATTATTCTGTAAGCATAATACAATTGTTCTTCATAGCCAACCATCCTCTCCCTTACTAATAAATAATCTCCCAATGAATGTCGCATTAATTAGTACAGAAAGAGAAAAAAAACGAGTTTTATAAAGCATGTATAATTCAAATGAGAAAGTATTTTGTGCAAAAGAAAACTAATTGCTTGCCCATAAAAAGAGGTTTGGTGAGGTAGATTATTCTTTGGTACTTTTCAATGTAGATATTAAAAATTGGTCATCACAGTTAAATAAAGAAATATATTCAAATCTGCTTGTAATTCTATTTGAAATTCTGTTCTTTCTATTCAATATTCAGTTATTTAGTGAATTTATTTTAAAGGTACATTATAAATCATACAGTTATCGTCTTCCAAGTTAGAATCTTGAGAATCATTCTGACTATTAACTGGTAATGTAAACGAATTGTTCAGGATATCTGATTCAGTAATAATCGGTTCATTTTGTTTTATTGAATTTTCTAAATTGCAAACAAGATCGTTAGTAGTATTTATACTTATATCATTTGAATTTAAAGTCATATTTGATTGTAAATTGTGAATAAAGTTAATCACTGCACTCCAGGAAGTTAGTAAGATATTGAACATTTGTATTTTACTGCAGATGGTACATGTACAACTTCCATTTAAAATAGTTGAATTAGTATTGAAAGATGACAATGCCACCGATTGTGGTGAACATACTTTTTGAGTTGACGAATCATTAATTTGAGGAGATTCAGTTGTGAGTTCAGTTATTGATTTGTCTGAATAAGATAAAAACTTACCATTTTTTGTTGTATCGTTCAGTGCAATTTTATCATGTATTAAAGTTTTATTTTTCGATTGAATCGATCTATGTGTTCGAATGTTACCATCTGTCAATGTTGAATTTAGCTTCTTTGAATGTAAAACTTTTCTAAATGTACGCTTGGATCTAACCAAATTTCGTTTCGTTAAACTAAGTGATGAATCGCATGCAGTCGAGAATGGAAATAAGTAGGAACCAGGGGGACTGTAATGACGTAATTTTGTATAACGTTTCTGTTTAAGCCAAGAGTAATTTGATGAGTAATTAGTGAAATAATTAAGACTGAAACTCAGCTTATGGGAAACTTCATTCAGAATTTGACGATATGGTAAGGGATTTATATTTTGTAAAATATTATTGCATGACTTTTGTAGACATTCTAAAGGACTTGGTTTGGAGAAAGGG